GAAGAAGAAGAAGAAGAATAGGGGGAAAAAAACAAAAGTAAAGTCTACTTAAAATTCAAAGGGCACCTTTATCAAAGCAGTTTCTCAAAAGAAATGGCATTCATCACAACAGACATTCTCTGCCATGCAAGACCTCTCAAGGATAGAAAGTGGTGGCAGTGTTAGGGAGACAACTTTGGAGGGTAGCTCCAAGTCTAACAGTAGGTGGCTCTGTTGTAGGATGAGTTCTTGGTCCTTAAATGGGTAACTGACAGATTATGGCCTGCCACGGTATAAATTCTCTAAGTGTCTGTCAAAGTCTTGAGTTGCATGTGTGCTATGGTTTGGATCTGAAATGTTCCCCAAAAGCCCACGTGTTGAAGGGACAGTTCCAGCCCAATACTATTGGAAGTGGTGAGATCTTTAAGAGGTAGGGCCTCATGGGTCACTGGGGATATGGACTTGCAAGGAGTGTGGAACCTCTCCCTTTTCTCTTCTTTTCAATCTTTCCCATTACATCTGTGAGGTAAACAACTCCAGTATGATCACATGCTTCTGCCATGATGTGTTGTCTTTCCACAGGCCCGAAAGCAATGACACCAGTTGATCATAATAGAAACCTCCAAAGCTGTGAGCCAAAATAATTATTTTCTCTTTATAAGTTGATTATCTCAGATATCTGTTTCAGTAAAAGAAATCTGACTAACACAATAAAGCCCATAACAATGAAATTGAGGCTGGTAATTCACATACGGGGTCTGATGAGGTATGGGGTCATATTCTAAAGGGGACAGGGAGTTCACTCCAGTTTCTTACATATGGGGTCTGTTAGGGATGCACATCTGGAGCATACAGGAGAATACACTCCGCTTTTAAATCACAGCACAACCTATTATTCATATCTGAACAGTTGAAGTGTTTGGAGTCATTTTGAAGCTGCATAGTTTAGTCCAGTCATGGTGGCACATGCCTGTGATCCTACTGATTTGGGAGGCTAAGGCAGGAGGATAGCAAGTTCCAGGCCAGTCATAGCAATTTAGCAAGACCCTCAGAGACTTATCGAGACCCTGAGTTAACATAAAAAATAAAAAGGGCTGTGGATTTGGTTCAGTGGTAAAGCCTGGAAGCGCATGGTCCACAAATGACAGAGGCAGGAGACAGGAAGCAGACCTCCTGTCAGCAAGCTTTCCTTTATTCTGTAAGCAAAGTCAATCATGAGGCATGGGAGGACTCATTTTCTAGGTATAGGAAATGGCCCTCGGGTTGCAGAAGGAGTCTGGGTTTTATAGTTTACGATGAGGGCAAAGTAATCACTGGAGACTGCAGATGTGCGGTTTGGACAGTCAGGGACCTAGCTTAGCAGGTTCAAATTTTAACTCAAGAGAGCAGTTGTAAAAAGTTTGAAAATGAGTGTCACTGGGAAAAGCTCATAACTCCGTGTTCACTGCTTATCTTCCTTCCTCCAGGACCCATGGTTACCCAGAGCTTCACTATTTGCTTTTCTCCTTCCAGGACTCATCTGCAATGAGAAAGGGTAAAAGTGTGAGGCCCAGCGTTTCATTATTTGCCTCCTTCTTCAGGACCCATTGGGGTTGGGAAGGGGCAAATGTTTGCTTTTGGTGGAGATGCTGGGSATGAACCTGGGAAGGGATAAAAGTTTGCTCTTTCTCTGAGGATCCATTATTTATTTATTTATTTATTTATTTATTTATTTATTTGATTGAGAGAGAGAGAGAGAGAGAGAGAGAGAGAGAACTTATTTATTTATTTTTTAGTTTTCGGCGGACACAACATCCTTGCTTGTATGTGGCGCTGAGGATGGAACCCGGGCCGCATGCATGCCAGGCGAGTGCGCTACCGCTTGAGCCACATCCCCAGCCCCGAGGATCCATTATTACTGGGAAGGGATGTATTGGGAGAGGTTTAATGTTTGGCTAATTTCCCCTCCCTCCTCCCAGTCACACTACCCGCGTTGCCGGGTTTCTCTTCTCGMGACTAAAAGGCTCAGGGGTCACTCTAGTTAAACTGGGCTAACTGGGCTGCACGAAATAACCACACAAGAGACACAAATACCTTTTTCTTTGGGGTTGCTAAGGAGAGGTCGCAGGGCTGAGGTAGATAACAGGTCACCCGTTTATTGGCAAGCGCTTCCATATGTCAGTTCCGGAGCCCAAGAAGTTAATTCTTATTGGGGCTAAGGCTTCCCACCAGCAGGGTTTGAACATTGGCGCTGGCGGGAATGTTTCGCGCCAGTGAAAGAAACAAAGAGGAGAAAGAGGGTCGTTAGATGCCATGCTGGGGTTTTCCTCTGGGGTGCTGCTGCCGTTATATGTTTTCCCAACATTCCTCCCTTTTTGTTTTCTTAGGAATTGGGGCGTCATTGGTCAGATCTGGCTGCTTCCAGCTGTGCAGGGGCGGTGTAGGGCCTAGAAGGGGAAGTGGAAGAATGTTGGGGGAGGGCCAGGTCTGGGGATGTCATGGCAACCAGAAATAAAACCCAGTGGCTATAGACTGCTACTTCCGTAGGGGTGAAGTCTATGAAAGTTCCCTGAAACCACAAGTCGTCGATGGCGTCCAACCAGTCCTGGATGGAGGAAATGGTTGGTATCAGCCACTGGTCCTATAACAGAGACTAGGAAATATTGGAAGCGTTGCCTTGACATGGCGTCACCAGCACCTGAAGAAAATCAGAGCAAACAAAAGCAGGATGAAGATAAAAATTAAAGCAAATGTCAGTTTTTGGCAGAAGTTCCATGTCGGGGGGACTGACAGAGAAGAGGCCAGGGGCCATGAGGAGGCTTAAAAGGACATAAAGGCTCAAAAATCCAGGATGGCAGATTAAGAGGTTCTCCGGGCTCGTTGTCTCCCACTGTCCGATGTCCGTTGCATTCCATCGCGCCTGGTAGTGAGCTTCAGCAATGAGTGAGCTGTTCTCTTGAAGATGTTGGGGGCTCATCGGTCACCAGAGGCTGGTAGTACCTAAGCAGAGGCTGGTTGAAAGTTTGGTTAGAGATCTTCCGTAATTGGCCCTGTAGGAAGCGAAGCAGACAGGGCAGGAACAGACACATCAGGAAAAGAAGACATATGGGCCCTAAAAGAGGCAACAGCCACGATTGGAAGTGGGCTAAAAAGAAGGTGGCAAATGGGTTTTGGTTTGGTGGATTTTTCAAAGAGGTAGCCAAATCAGTGAGCTTGACTACATTAGTTTCCACAAGGCCTGATTCATTGATGTAGTAACAGCATTCTTCCCTCAAGAAAAGAAGGTTTCACCTTTTTCGGCTGTGAGTAAGTCTCTAGCTCGTCAATTTTGAAGAGTAACTTGAGCCAAGGATGTGACCTGCCTTTGTAAGGATGCTAAAGATTCTGCCGTAGAAGTGAGCGCTTGTTCAAGTTTAGAACTTAAGTCCTCTACAGCCCATAAGGAGTGTCCTAGAGCTCCACCAGAAATTCCGGTTCCCGCTGCAGATACAGCCAGTGAGAGACCCACCAGTATTGGAAGGGAAGCAGCCCGCTTATTCCTCGCTGGGGAGACAAGAGGGCCTGCACTTCAGCTGGGGTATAGAGAGTCAATTGCGGGACAAGCTTCACCAGTATACATGGCGTAGAGGTGTTGGTGAATAAGATAGTGATGAGAGAACCATTACACCAGAAGAATGAGCCAGGTGGTGCATAGAGGGTGAAGTTAAAGGTGAAGTTAGAGTGGCAAACTTTGACTGGGAGACACCCAAGCCCAGGAGGCAGCGCTGGGGAATCATAGTATGGTGAGACTCCTCAGGCTCCCATAATGGAGCGTCGGGTGAAAGGGTTTGGAGAGAAAGGCGGGCAGATGGAGTGGAGAAATTTGAGAGGTCAGAAGCCCAGAAGTTCAAGGGAACCGCTGCAAGCAATGGTCGAGTCAGAGAGGCGCATAAGTAGCAATCAGTTGGTGTGATGGCGGGGAGGGTTAGATTTAAGAAGGTTACAGTTTCAGTAAGTAGTCCTAGCCATGAATACTGTGGTGGACTCCTGACATTAGGCTCATATGGATCCTGTATGGAGTCTAACAACTGCTGTTTGGAATGCTTTAAGAGGAGGAGGATGATGTCCCCTGGAAAATGGTGATGACTGTGAAAATAACACTTAGAAGAGTGGGCGTCATGGTGGAGTACGGGCGGTTATAGAGGATAGTTAGGATGTGGAGAGCAGGAGTAAAGGGGAGGTCTAGGAGGTGACTCTTGAGGCTCCTCTGGGGTAGTCTTGTCATCAGCAGGTGGGGCGGCCTCCTGGTGATATGGCTTCAACAGGATTCCTCAGTTTGATCTGCTATGAAGCATAGCATTGCTGAACATAAGTGGGATGAGGTGGCCCAGTTGAGTCCAGTAACATTAAGGGCCCAATTACAGCCAGTGAAAGGCCAATCGTCTTGGCCCATAGACTGAGAGCGGATGGTGCCATCCTGTTGCCATGTCGCTTGGATGTAGAAGCGCCATCTGTGGGTTGGGATAGAAGCTTGAGAGAGATTAATGATTAGTAATAGGAGAGGATTGGCGAGAAACTTTGAGTTTGGTGGGCCCCAGCATGGTGGAAATATGACTGTATGGGATCCTGTCTGGCAAGGTTTCAACGAATGAGAATGTCGCTCTCGAAGTAAAACTGCATCACCCTGTTGAAGAGGGTCCGATTTAATTCCCGATTGTGCTGCAACAGAAGTAACAGATGGTGCAGGAAGACACCAGTGTGCATGTTCTCTTAGGAGTTTGTATAGAAGCATGAGATAGGGCAGGTGGGACACAAGGGGAGGAGGAGTGACAGGAAAGTTTTAGTTGATTAAGAAAGGCATCCATAGAACAGCTCAAAGGGGCTAAGGCCTGAGGGGGCTCTAGGGGTTGCCCGAATTTGGGAGAGGGCCAATGGCACAAGAGTGGGCCAGGACAGTCTGAGTTCAAGCAAGTTTAGTGAGATGATCCTTGAGAATGCCATTAGGCCTCTCAACCTTATCCGAGGAATGGGGTCAGTGGGGGATGTGGAGCCTCCAAGTGCTGTTAAGGCCTTTGGAAACTAGTTAAACAATCCGAGAAGTGAAGGCTGGACCGTTGTCTGACTGGATGGAGGCAGAAAGTTCAAACCTAGGAATGATCTGCTCAATGAGGATTGAGGCGACAGTGTCAGCAGTTTTCCTGGAGGTAGGGAAGGCTTCTATCCAACTGTAAGAGAGTGCTATCCCCAAATTACAAACAGTTAAATCCTGTGTCAAGGCCTGACCAAAGTGGTAGGGACTGTCCCTGAAGCCTTAGGGTAGGCCTGTCCATGTCAGCTGTTGAAACCTAAAGACTGTAAGGTCTTCCCATGTGAAGGCAAAGAGGTAATAAGAGTCAGGATGCAGAGGCACTGTAAAGACATTAGCTTTAAGATCCAGGACAGTAAAGTGAATGGTCAAAGGGGGATATGAGAAAGAAAAGCATGAG